TTACATGACTGGAAAGAAGAAAAAAAAATAAACACAAAAACAAAACAAACAGCTTCTCAAAAACAGGGGTGTTCAAGCAGATTACAAACTGGTTACATGTAAATGTACACATCTATACAGCATGGCACACTGCAGGTTCCGTAAAATCAAAACTCAAACAGTCCCTCTGATAAGTCTAAGTTCTTAATAAAATTAATGAAAGGCCCCCAAATCCTCTCAAAAAGATGCTGTTTGGATTTCCTAATATATGTTATTCTTTCTAGTGGCAAATTAGATGCCATCTGCTTTAACCATTGTGTGGCACTAGGTCTGCTGACATTTTTCCAAGACAAAGCAATACATTTTTTTGCAGTTAATGAGCTTATATCAATAAAAGTACATTCTACTTTCCTAAAGTTATGCTTCTCAGGGTATAAAGCCAACAGGAATAATTTAGGATCCAGTGAAATTTGCTTTAGGATAATTTTTTCAATTGTATCTTTCACCTCTGTCCAAAATGCATTAATTTGTCTGCATTCCCACATACAGTGTATTAGAGTCCCTTTAGAATTACACTTTACACAAGAATCTGGGATGTTGTTGTTGTATTTATTTAAATGCACGGGCGTAACATAAACACGCATTAGCCATTTAAATTGTAGAATTCTGAGACGACTGTTTATGGACATTGTGTGAGTTTTTATGCAAACCCTTTCCCAATCCTGTTCACTGATATTTGATGATAAGTCCAAGTTCCAGTTTATAAGCTTATTATTTGAGTTCTCTAATGAGTTAGAGATCAGCACATTGTAAAAATCTGAAATTATGCCCTTTTTTGATTTATTCCGAATCATTAATTTTTCAAGCAGTGTAAGAGGAGGCTTGTTAAGATCACTGCAATTTGCTTTAACAAAGCTTCTCAGCTGAAGGAATTTAAAATAATGCTTTTTATCTAGCTTGAATTTGGTTTGTAGAACTCCAAATGACAAAAATATATCAGAATTTGGTGAGTAAAGGTCTCCAATACTTTTTAAGCCTTGCGATGCCCAGATCATAAATGTTCCATCTGCCCTACCTGGAGCAAACAGCTGATTACCCCAAACTGGACTAAATTGGGACATGCTGTTTGGCTCCGCAAGGTGTTTTCTAACATCTTGCCAAATTTTAATCATGGTTTTCAGAATGGGATTTGTAGCATGTTTCTGTAACTTCTTTAAAGTGTCAGAGTACAAGAATAGTGGAAGAGCCAAACTTAAGTTATAGGACTCCATTTCTACCTAGTGGGGATTGTCTTTATCTGAGAAATAGAACGATAGTTCTTAGTTGTGTGGCCCAATAGTAAAGTTTGAAGTTGGGGCATTTTAACCCCCCTCTATCAAATGGTAAATAAAGCAAAGAGAGGCGTAGCCTAGACCTTCCATTGTTCCAGATAAAGCCTAAAATAGTTTTTTTCAGCCAAGTGAATAATTCAGGAGGCGGCGGCAGGGGAATACTTTGAAAGAGGTACAGTAGCTTTGATAGTATACTCATTTTCAGGACATTAACTCTTCCCAAAACTGATATAGGTAGGGATGTCCAGTTGCTAACTGAGGCAGCTATTATTTTCATTAGGTGCTCGTAATTGGATTTGACCACCTGCTGTAATGCTGGGAAAATCTGAACACCCAAATATTCAAAATGCTCCACTACTTTAAATTGCTTAACTTCTCTGGTGGGATTAGTCCTTTCATCTACATTTAATAGCAGAATGGAGGAT